GCCTATCCGGCTATGGTACACCTCTCCACTATCATACCACCCTCTTTCCCTTTATAAAGATAATTTTAAAAACCAAGAGTGTACACATAAATTTCTTAGGTCATGTCATAGATCAATTTTTAAAATTTTGCCACTGACCTCCATGGAAAAAAAGGGCATCAAGTTTCTTTAACAATAATTTCTATATTTCTAAGTTAATTTTAATTCATTCTTCTCATCAAAGACCTTAGCAGTTTCTACTTTTTTCAAAGTTGTGAGGATGGTACTGAGGATCATAGATAATGGCTTAGGAAATAATAATCTATCAATATTACTGATGAAGGGTCAATAGGAGTTTGCTGAGTAGATGGTGGTTGTTCAAAGCAATGCAAAAACAGAGGCAAGAATATTCATTCGAATACTACAGACTTATATAACATTGAAAATGCAGTTCATTTGGATGTTTTAAGACCAATGCAGTCAAGTAACATGACCAGGAGTCTTTCAAAGAATGTCAATGAAAAATTACTGAAAAGTTGTTAAAGTACTTTTGCACTCTGGTGGCTTACTGGTAAAGAGTTGTTACCAACACAAAGGCACATGGTTCAAATCCAGCAAATGTTCCACAGGAGAAAGAAGAGTAATCTCCTAGTTTGAGATTTTCTGACTCTGAAAACTTTGCTGAGCTGTCAGCTATGAGTTGGTTCCAACTTAATGACACATAACAACAGAAACAAGTTACTTTTCCACTCTAATGTACAGAGACTAGAACAATGGGCTCAAGTATAGCAGAGGTGATCACGATGACACAAAGTTCAGATCCGTTTTTCATAGCATGGCTCAGTCTTTAAATCAACTCTATGGCATTTAATAGTATTTATACTTTAATCTTTTCGCCATACAAGTCCTCCTAAAGTCCTCCTTCCATCCTTACTTTTCATATCCGTCGCCCATCTATACAATATTCAATGTCCAACCCAAACATTACTAAATTTAAAAGGTTTTTTTTAATATTCTTACAAGATATTTTCCATTATTTTTCCTTTAATCTTTACATCTCTCTTTAATTTGAATAGCAATCACTTTCAGAAGTACCTTTCTTTCTTACAACGACCCATTTACCCACTCTCCTACTTCCTATTAGTCCTTAAACATGATTTGAATGGTTCAGACCAGTCTGGAAAGACCCTCAACCAGAAGGATGGACTGCAGCAACGGGCTCAAGTATGCCAGAAATTGTGAGGATTGCACAAGATAGGGCAGGACTCAGGTCTTTTCATGGGGTCACTCTGATTGGTCATAGACTGGATGGCACCTAACATCAACGTACCAGCCTGGACCAAGAATACGAGTTCAAATTACACTGGTCTGAAGTTCTGGCCTACTCTTCATTCACGATCAGCTCTGGCAAAATATATCTAGCTGTGTTCAGTTGTGACTCATGTACCTTCTCTACTTTTCTAGTTGCTGACCTTTTGGTTAATAGTCCAAAACTTAACCCACAGCTCGGCTGACGTTACAATCAACTTCAATGTCAGGCACTATTGGTGAAAACTTCTGGTCTGTACTAAGCTCTGCACGCCATGTTGTTTTCCTACACCTTCAACAGTTCTCCTAAACTCTTTCTTCCCATTTTCAATAGGAACGCAAAAGAAGGCAGAAACCTTTTCATTATGTAATGAGAGTATGTGTAATATCTTTGAAGTCAGTAAAACGGAAAGAATGTGAAAGGACTTTGCATCTACACAGGTAAACTGTGAGTAAATGATGGGGGAAGACGACTGCCCCCTCCCTGGACGTTACGCACGTCGCAGTGCGTCACGCGGACGCCGTGACCGACCACGCCACACTGACCACGCACTGCGGGGCCGGCCCCACTTCCCTGCCAGGCCCTACTGTCAATGAAGACTTTCTAGAGAGTGCTGGCGCTCGCGCTGGTGGAAGGAGAGGCCGCGCTCCCTGCTCGGCACGGTGTCGCGGGTGCTGCAGCCCACTGCCGAGCAGCTTCGGGGCATCTTGTTAAGTGAAGCTCCACTTTCTTGGTTGTAGTGGCAGCACGAACCACGACAAACAAACTCTGCCGGTTCACTCGCAGCTATTTGTATAGAAAGACGTGCTTTTGCGCCTCGGAGCTCCCACCCTTCCTCTCTGATGGCACAGCCAATCAGTAGCTGCGCCTGTCTCAGCAGCCAATCGGAGAGGCCAGCTCTTCGTTTTTGAGCGCTTGGCTGTTTTCTCCGCACTCTTCCAGGATGGTTATGTTGCTGTGCTTTTGTACTAGGCTCCTGCACCTTAGCTCAATCCGTCGCCATCACACCAGCTGTAAAGCTGAAAATACGACGCACGAAGTGAAGACAAAGATGGAAGCAGTTCCGGGGCCTGGCTGATGGTCCTCCAGGTGCATTCTCTAAATCTGAGTGGAGAACAGGGCAGAAGGGGGTATGGCGGGAAGAAGGATGAATGTGGCGCCCTAGAAATGTTGAAGACAAAGTGGGGCAAAGAAATACAGTAAATTATTTAGTTAGGTGCATGTTATTTTCTTGCATTTCATTTTGTTGTTCCATATGCAGAGACCATATAAAGGGCTTGGTTGACTGTAAGCGTGAGACCCCGGAGGAGCAGGACATTCTACTGAAAGTATGACTTTTAGTTCTAGGAGCTCGTTTTGCCAGGATATCTTGCAATGTTGTAGGGATTCAGAGAGACTAAGGTGAGGGCCTTGGTCATTCGAGGACGCTAATAGTCCGACGGGAACTTTTCAGTAGCAATAACCGAGGCAGAAGAGGCAGACCAATGAGAAGATTTAGTTCAATTCCTATTTTAAGTTCTTTATATGTAAGGTTTGTGCGTTTGGAGGGTTAACAAAGAGCATGGTTTATATGTATCTTTGAGTAGACTGGAAGATCCTTAGAAAATGCAGTTATTCCAGCATTTCTAAACCTTAACAAAATTACTTTTCCGCCAGCTATATTTTGTTCACTTTGCCCAGATTTTAGCCAAAAAGGATTCATGTCATAGTTTTACTTGGTTGCATTTGTTCACCAATGCACAGTATTTTCATCTTGTTGAAATGAAAGTTACTGCTTTTGTAGTTTTTTTACGAAGTCACATAGCCAGAAAATACTGTATGATCACCAGAAAATACTGTATGATCACTCTGCTGGAGAAGGAGGGACAGTCTCCTCCCGTGCCAGTCAGATACAATTTGGCGGTGTGTATACACACACACACTATGAATTTTGGAAAAATAGGCCCGTGGAAGTTGGATGGGGTTGGGAGGGTCTGACTGTAAGATGTTCAGAGTAGGAACTGCGTTTAAATCAGTTTAGACTATTAGAGCTTTTAGTACTTAGCCAATTTTAGACATTTTCTTCACCCTAAAAAGAAAGCTCATGCTGTCACCCCTTCCCCCATCTCTTAAAGCAACTACTAATCTTTATAGATTTTCCCATACCAATAAAATATAATGCCATATTTAGACCATTTGTGATCGTATCCTCCCATTTACCATGTTTCCAGGGTTCTTCCAAAATAAATGAGGGTTTGCTCATTACCATTGTATGAATTATGCCACATTTTATCTGTTCATTAGTTAATGAGCATTTGAATTTTCATTTCCTGGTTATTGTGAATAATGACTAGGGCCCTGTATGCAAAACTTTGTGTGATCATGTGTTTTCATGTATGTTTCTTTGGTATGTAATTTGGAAGGTAATTGATGGGCCATTTAATCACTTTCCACTCTGTGACACAAATGTCTTGAGTTTTTGCCATAATATGCTCCCGAGAAATCTAATGTTTGCCAAAACTGTGCAGTTTTAAAGTGTAGTGTTTACGGAGAAATATTGTTAAGATATTTATTGTTAAATGGCTATGAGTTCCCACTCATAGTAGCCCTATAACAAACACAACACAATGAGATGGTGTACCTGTACTATCCTCACTTTTGCTGCTGTGATGGAGTCAGTGTTACAGCGACAGTATCAGTCTGTCTCAATGAAGGTCTTTTTACTGACGCTATGCTTTTCCAAGAATGTTTTCTTACTTAGGGTCTGCCTCCTCTTCTTAACTTGTCCAAAATACATGAGGCAGGATGTAACTATCATTGTTCCTAAGTAGCTTTCTAGCTATACTTCTAAGACAAATTTATTTGTTCTTTTGACAGCCTGTGGTATATTCAGTATTTGCCAGTACTGTAGTTCAAAGGCATCAGGATTGGGATACATTATTAAAATTCTGTGCTATTTGATAATTAGAACATCAGAAGAAAAACTGAAAACTTGATTACATCTTATGGGGAATGCTATCCCTGGGTGATGCAAATTGTTGAGAAATCAGCTATTAACTGAAAAATTGGCTATTCATCTCTACCTAGAAGCACCTTGGTAGAAAGGCCTGGCTATCTACTTTGAAAAGATCAAAATCCTTGAAAGTTAGGATGCTCCATGCAGATACTCATGGGTCAGAGTACCTTGACAACAGTTGGTTTGCTTTTATCCGGAGATACTTTCAACAGGAGATATTAAAAACAAGGATAGTGGGTGCTGATAGACTGCAGGTGTAAGTGATGGAACTCTGGCTAATAGTATTGCTGTTAAAATAAGTTCAGAGGCAGCTGCTATGACTCCCTCCAGAACTGTAAGAGGGCCCCGGTATGCAATGGAAAGTAGTCCCATTGCCAATTCATTGTGAGGGCTTTTTATTCCTTGCCTAATTGGTCCAGATATTGGACTCCCTAGGGAAGATAAAACTGGTTTTCTCATTATTCTGGCACCATTTGTCAACAGTGACAGCAAATGAGTTCCTGAAAATTGTCTTGTAGCAGAACAGTTTTACTTACATCTTTGTGAACTGATTGATTGGAAATAACACACTTAATCAATGAGGGATAATTGACTGTCCTAGATATTCTTGAGTTACAACAACATGTAATCACTTATAGATTGGGAACTAGCTTTCAAGTGACATTTATGCATCTTTTTCTGTGTTTTTGGTGGTTTAGTTTGTTTTTAATTTGCTAACTTCATATCCAGTGATTAAACCTTTTCACTGCTGTTCACATAATGAACCGTTGTGATTATTGAATACTTAAATGAGGATATGTAAGCTATATTAAAGACTTCTCTGTAAAGGGCACTGACCATTGCACAAAATAATTTAAACAGAACTATCTCATTTTCAGGAATTATGGTCTTGAAGATTTGGAAGATTACCTGGATTGTGGAAGGTTAACTATTTGAGGTATGCAGGGGAAGTTGTTTTGTTCTGATTTTTTTTCTTTTATTTACACAAAGGTTTACAAATTATATTTATATTTCTGTTTAATATATATGAAATATTCCTGGCACAATAATGTTGAATTGCATCTCCCTCTTCTGTATCCTCCATGAACTCTTCTAACCCACAATTTCTATCACCAGATAACCCTGACTTCGACCCCTCTGACTCAGTTCCCCTCTTTATGGTCCTATCTATGCCCTCAGCCAAGCACCTGGCTCTAGTCCTAGAGACTCTTCAAATCAAGCCTCTAGCTCTACTGATCCTTAAAAATACCCTCCCATCCCCTTTGCTCACAAGTTTGCTACGACCCCCATTCACCCCCTCTGCACTAAACTCTTCTGTCTGATTCCCTAGCCCCATCTACCCCTCCGCGAGGTAGCAGGAGCTGAGGGTATAGTTCGTGTTCATGTCCCCTTCTGTCTCAGTGATCTCTCCCAATTAGAAAAGTACTTTGGCACCTTCTCCAAAGACCCTGACATGTACACTATAGAGTTTAAATATCTTATCCATACCTATGATCTTACATGGCGTAACGTTTATTAATCTGCCTCCTGACCACGCTTTTTTGAATTGCCAAGAAGACACCCTTCTCAGGGATTTTTTGCCTCTTGCCGTTGATGGCCTTCAGAACACCACCAGTGATTTAAGGTGGGTAGTGGTGGTTCTCCTCTCTCAAATCTCCTGTCCACATCGTGAGCAGATCTTCCCGTTAAGACCAAAGAAGCAGTTTTGTGCATTTACCAACCAAACCATCAGTGACCTATGCATGATGAAGTACACACCGCTCCCTCCAAATGAGACAGCATAACGTACCCACCTCCCTTAAACCCCACTAGGACCCCATCCAGCAGGAAGCAGCCAGAAGACCTTGTCACTCCCTAACATCCCAAAGGTGGAATGTTAGGCTAAACCTAAGAATTGGAGGTTGAAGCTCAACTAAAAAATTCCTGTGTCAGGATATTTTCCCAAACCAGAAAATCCTATGTCAGGACATTTTCTGGAACCAGAACTCAGAAAATCCTATGTCAGGACATTCTCTAAAATCAGAACTCAGAAAACCCTATGTCAGGATATTTCCCCAGAACCAGTTCCCCAAGACTGGAAACTTTATGCACAAATGAACCACTGCAGCCACCCCATATAAACCCCTTAAGCCCAACCCCCAGTGCTACTCCCCTTGCTGAGTAGCCTGGTGCTCAATAAACTCTGAGAAATGTTTAAAAAAAAATGATATTGAGTTGGAAGAGGAGATTTGTCCACACTTAAGATGAATATATAAATCTAATTTCTTCCTTTATGATGTTTAAAAATCTCATTAGCTGACTTCCTGTGGAGGGAAAGTCACTGGTACTTACTGAATGGTTACTCCATTTCTGGCATTGTGCTAAGGATTTAATGTTGTGTGTGTTTGTATTTATAACTAGTAATTATTTCTTACAGTAATTCTGTAAAACAGATAGTTGTAAAAGAGTGCTAGCTTATACAAGAAACTTCTAGCCCTCAGCTGAGCGTGGCATCAGGTTTGGAGGGAAACTCATCAATAACCTGCATTAAGCAAATGATGCAACCTTGCTTGCTAAAAGTAAGGAGGGCTTGAAGAACTAGTTGCAGAAGATCAAGGAATGCAGCCTTTAGTATGGATTACATCTCAGTGTCAAGAAAACATAAGATACCTATAGCGTCATGATGGATGTAGAGGAGATTGAAACAGTCAACATCTTCATCTTGCTTGGATTCACAACACCCTTGGCACCAGCAGTCCGGAAATAGACACATCGCACTGGGAAAATCTGCAGTTAAGGACCTCTCCAAATTTTTGAGGAGTAGTGATGTCAGTTTGAGGACTAAAGTGCATTTAGTTCATGCTATAGTCTTTCTGATTACTTGCTATGCTTCTGAAAGCTGGACAGTAAATAAGGATGACAGAAAAAGAATTGATGCCTTTGAGCTGTGGTGTTGGAGAAGAGCATGGACGACAAAGAGAACAAACATGTCTTGGAGAGACTGCAGCCTGAGAGCTCTTTGGAGGCAGGAATGATGAGGCTTTGCCTCATGTACTTTGAGCATGTTGCCAGGAGGGCCTGTTATATGGAGAAAGACATGATGCTGGGAAGGGTGGAGGGTTGGCCAAGGAGTGGAAAGCCCTCAACCACGTGGGTTGATGTGGTAATTGCTGCAATGGGCTCTTGTGTGTCATTAAGTGGGAGGATGGCACAGGATAGAACAGGGTTCAGATCTTTTTATAGGGTTGTTATGAGTCGTATTTGACTCGATGGCACCTAACAACAACAACAACTCCCAGGTCTCTCACTGGGTCCAGTAATGCAGTGGGTGCACAGAAATCACAAAACTGTGCT